GACCACACGTTCAGCAAGACGGAGCCGGGAGTATCATCCCGGGATGGTCAGTGCCCAGCACAGAAGAGGACACTTAGAAGATTCTGAGGAAACACTGATGTCAGCCCATACGATGCTGAGTGAATGTGAGCGGATGGATGGACGGATGGACGGATGGACAGATGGGTGGGTGGGTGGATGGGTGGATAGATGAGTAGGTAGATGGATGAATGGATGGGTGGGTAGACATATGGTGGATTGGTGGATGGATGGATAGATGGATGGAAGGGTGGATGGGTGGATAGATGGGTGGGTAGATGGATGAATGGATGAATGGATAGACAGATGGTGGATTGATGGATGGATGGAAGGGTAGATGAATGGGTGGATGGATGGATGGGTGGATGGGTGGATGGGTGGATGGATGGATGGGTGGATGGATGGGTGGGTGGGTGGACTGGTGGAGAGATGGGTGGATGGATGGATTGAATGGATGGATCATGGCAGGTGGGAGGATGGGTGGGTGGGCGAAGCTCCCCATACTGAAACAGACTCTTCCCACTTCCGTGGCCTGATTCGTTTCTTTCAGCCCAACCTCCAGATGGGCTCAGAGGAAAATGCCAACTGTGTGCTATGACATCAGTGATGTCCGTCACCCCTGCTGGCATTGGGGAGGTGGCATCATGTGACGGCCAACCGTGGCCTCTGACACCAGGTGCTCCATGTGCAAATCCCCAGAAGACCCCTTCTGGGCTGCGTGACCCGGTTCAATGGCTTCACCTCTCTGAGATGCACAGATCTTAGCAGAAACCATCTCACGCGTTTTTCTGGGTGATCGATCATTGCATATAAAGTCACCCACATGTCGTGTGGACCTGGTGTTGCTGACATCATTGCTTCGGCCGGGATGGGGAGCAAGCAAGGCGGGACTCCCTAAGGACAGGGCACATGGTGACATGTACCTCATCGAGTGGCAATGCTACTCCCAGGGTGGAACCCAAGTGAGGGACCAAAAGCATAAACATGTCACCGGTGGAGTGAGAAGCCGAGAGAGTTCCCGCAACCCAGGCACCCATGAGGGAGGGGGGAACCGGGGCCAGTAGCCACCCACGGCCTGACCTTGAACATGGCGCCTGCCTCATGGGCTCCCGGGGATCTCCAAGGATCCTGAGCACCCAGTACTTTAGTCCCCTAGTCCCCGGGACCAAAGCCTCTCGCACGCCCACCCCGTTTCCATCTCCCAACATCTGGACCTGCTAGGGGAGCCATTAATCTCAGGCAATTTCTTTCCTCACTTGATTTGTTTATTTAAGGAAAACAAGTTGCTCCTAATTAGGAGACTGCTGGCGGGAGCTCAGCTCTGGGGCCTCGGCCGCCCCGCTTCAGACCTAGAATCTACCTGCGCTTTGCACATCTGCAAGTCTGTCCAGCAGCTGTCCTAGGTGGAGGCTGCGGGTGAGGAGGCTGGGGCTGGGGCAGTGGAGGCTGCGGGTGAGGAGGCTGGGGCTGGGCGCAGAGTCAGGCAGGGCCCGGGGACAGCCCAGGGCTCTGGAGCACGGTGCCAACACGGCTCAGAGCTGGCATCAATCGCCGAGTCAGCACTGAGAAGGTGCCCGGCCCAGCAGAGGACCCTGCGGGCTCAGGGCTGGGGCTGTTTGAGAGCGCACAGGTGACACCCCCCTGGCCACTTAGGGCCCCGCAGACATTTAGACGCACCTCGGAGATGTGCGTGCTGGGAAGCGCACAGATGCATACACGGGATGTGCCAAAGTCACGCTGCCATGCAGCCAAGCAAACACCCAGAAGCGCACACACGCACACCCGGAGGCGTGACAGGCACTGTGTGCCCCGCAGCCAGCACACCCAGACACCAACACTCCGAAGCACACACGTAGAGTTTCAACCAAGTGTGCAAAGCTGCACACGGGTGTGCACTGAGGAATATGTACACAAAGAGAAACAGAAACATGTGCACTGCAACACACACACGCGCACTCACGCAGACACAATCACACTCTGACGCTCCGGTGCACATGCTCAGAAACCCACCCACATGCCTAGAGACGCTCGCGGGACACCGCACACACAGACAAGTGCACTCACCTGCACACACAGATACGCACAAAGGTACCTGGGAAACACACGGAGGCATATGTGCAGAAGTGCACAGCACAAATTGCACGTGTGTACACTCCCACTCATGCAGGTGCTTGCAAACACCCACACGCCCACCTGTTCACATGGGGACAGCATGTCCCCCTCTGGGTGCAGGGTTAGAGCAGATACACCCTGCTTCTCCAACACAGGTGTTTCCACACATGCTTCCCGCACAGGGGTGTACCTCTGTGGGTGCATGCCTGCTTGCTCACTCACACTCACACACACACACACAAAATGCAGTTACAACAACTGACCCCCTCACAAGTGTGCACACAGAGTTGCGCCCACTCCCGCCGGTGCCCGTTCTCTAGCACGCTCGCACATGCTTGAACCCACACATGTGCATCCGGCAGACACCTGGCACACACTTGGATCGATGCTCCTCACACCCGTGCACACACGCTTCAGTACTCCCAGTCACCCTCCCGAGAGCAAGAGCACACGGTCCTGCCTGAGAGCACACGCGTCTGCACGCCTTCACGCGCACGTGCACACGCACACACACCCTGCTCCCCCAGGAGAGCACACTGCCCATGGCCTCAGCCCTGAGCCCGGGCACAGACGGAGGCCGCGCAGAGGGGCCGCTCCCGCGGGTTCCCAGGGCACCCCTCTCCCCACGGCAGCCCCACCAGGCCCATGGGGTCTGTCCTCCCCGCCACGGTCTCCCCCAGGAGCCCAGGCTGCCCCCAAGCTCAGGACCAGCCAGAAAGAAGCAAGACTGGTCAGCGCACCGCGTCCCAGTCTTGGATGCCGGACCCAGACTGAACTTCTCTGCTCGGGGTCCCTAGACAGCTGCCAAGCTGAAGCCATGGAGACGCTTACCTCCACTTCCCGTCGTCATGACGACCAGCAGCTGGGTGCACAGGGCCCTCCTGGCGCCCAGGCTCCCCACCAGGAGCAGCTGGTCCTTCACGAGGAAGCAAGGAGGGGGCGGGGACTGCAGGTATCAGGTGACTGGAGAGCCAGGACCCTGCCCCCAACCGAGCATCACCTGGTGCTTGGGTGGGACACAGTCACCCTCCCTGGGGACACAGCACCCAGAGGCCCACGTGCAATGCCCCAGACCACACGGTGGGGTTGCTAGCAACGTCAAGACCAGAGCCAGCAGCTCTGATGCACCCGCTCTGTCTGGGTGCTCCTGGCACCCTTCCAAAGCAGGACCACAAACACGCCATCTTACAGTGGGGAGGCTGACACTTGGAGAGGGGAGCGTCTGTCAAACTTGGGTGTGATCTGTCCAGGGTCTCTTAAACACCAAGTCCCATCAACTCCTGGATTCTGAAAATCTCATCTGTGACATTGCTGAGGGCCATAGAGTATCTGGATGGGGACCTCTGTAGATACATGAAACCAAGCAGCAGCAGCTAGAAACCAGAGAGGTCTAGTGAGTTTCCCAAAGTTACACAGCAAATTAACCACCTAATCCGGAGCTGGGGCTTTTCCCAATGTACCAAGCCCAGGCCTCTGATGCCTCAGTGGGATTCCTGGGTTTTGGCAGCCAGGGGAAAAGGCTTCTATCCTGTCCCCAGGTCAGAATCCCAATAAGGGCAGGAGTTTCTCGGAATCCCACTGTGTCCCAAGAATTGGCAAACACACAGCAATGCCACTCCCCAGAGGCAGCTACTCAGCCCCAGCAGGGGACAATTACAGGGACAGGGAATATCTCTGACTTGGGGTTTGGACCACCAGAGTGTCCAATCCGTGCTTCACAGGTACATCAGCTGCAGGCCAGAATATCAAGATGACCTCAGCCTCAGGCTGGGGCCCAGCAAGGAAAGCAATGTCCTCTAGGGGGCTGTGGCCACAGGGACAGCTCCCAAAGGATCCTTGGGGTCCAGGTGGCCTCTTTGGAGCATGCTCTTCACGGGGAGGAAAAATAATCTGGCCAAACTCTAGCTATAGGCAGGGCTCAGCTGAGTGTCCAGGGGCCTGGAGCTGGACTGGGGGGTCTGCCCCCCCACCAGAGCTGGGGCTGGGTGTGCCAGGAGCTGATCCCCTGGGCTCTTCCAGAACCTTTGCTACAAAGTCGCACCTCCCCAGGCTGCAGCCTGAATGGCCCATTGAGCAGCCCTGGAATCTCCCTGCTCCCCCCCCCCTTTCTCACCTAAAGAGAAGCCCTTTTGGAGCTGTGGGGACCAGGTGGTCACCTCCAGCCCTCCGGGTGGCTTTGCCAGGGAGGTGTGTAGGCTCTTGCCTTGACACTTGGGCTGCTGGGGCTTGGACAGAGGCGTGCTAAGGGAATGGGCCCTTCTCCCCACCCCCAGGCTCCAGTCTCTCCTCTCTCTCTTTCTCTCCCTCTCTCTCTCTCTCTCTCTCTCTCTCTCTCTCTCTCTCTCCATCCACACCTCAGAATGCACAGAAGCAAGTCTGCAAACACTATGCACAAAACCCACTGCCTGGTTGCCCGCCTGCTGGTTCCTGATGAAGGGACTCTCATTCCCCAGCGTCCCCCCCCCCCAGCACCTCAGAGAGTCAACTCGTAAATACAACTCGGTCCCTTCCAGGTCCCTTCCCCGGGGACTCGGAGCTGCCCAAGGCGGGGGGTTCACAAACCCCACCAGCGAGGACCCTGCGGTCTCCTGGCCCAGCCCCACTCCAGCAGCCCTTGAGCGCACGCTTTGGGGACCAGAAGGATGACCAGAGAAGGGACCTCCTGAAGGAGCCACCGGATCCCATCCTCCACCGGAGGAAAGTTTGTCATTCACCCAGAGCTGGGCTGTCACCGCCGTGTGTTCCTTTCGGACCCAGCGGTGGGCGCGGGGAGGCGGCCAGCCCCGGAAGCCCAGCCGCGGTGGCCTCCTTCCCACGCAGCTGCGCTGCCTCCGGGAGGCTGGGAGCAGGTCCAGGGCCGCGGTCCTTACCTGGGGAGTCGCCGCCACTTGCAAACTCTGCCCGCGGAGCTCGGCCGGCGCCGGGGTCTCTGCGCGCCTCGGGGTCCGCTGGGCGCGGGTTTCG